GTGTTGTTCTTCTAATACACATGGCTGACACAGAGCGCATTACACATTAGAAATGGAACAGCTAATCAAAAGGTCTGAGAACTTTTCACTCCATGTGTCCTGACTAGAATGTGGATTTTTGGATGAGGGAGGGAGATTTTAAAAATATCCCAGAATTCTTCAGGGAACATGGTGTGAACTGGCACTACAACTCTAGGATCCCAGCTCTTGTCCAGGTTGTATTACAGGGCTGGTCATTGTGTATGTGTTTATGGAAGCATTCAAATCTCAAACTGACCGCTTCAGATTTCAGTTTTTCCTACCCACAGTAAAGTCTGATCAAACCTCCTCATGAGTATTTTCAGTATGTGATGAGATGCTGCTGGGTTGCACTGGCTAGCCCCCACCTCCAATCCATGCAAACCACAACCACACCGAGCACAGCTACCTATGTTGATAACATTAGGAAGGAGACCTGTTACAAAGGAGGCATAGATGTGCCACATGGGTCTCCTCCATGCACATGTCCCCTCATATGAAGGCAATCTCTGTGTCTGTATGCCTCTTTGCATGTAAAATCCCTTTACATAGTCATCAAATCTGTGGCCCATTGGGACGATGGGTGCCAAAGGTGAATATGTACCATCACATGTTGAAAGAATGCAAGGAGGGTGTGACCACACTGGCAACAAATGTGGCCAATACTATAGGTTTGGGGGCAGGGTGATTCTATTGATTACATGATTCAAAGGGAAATGTGAATCAGCCTAGTGTCCCCCCCCCCCAATCCATAGTATTTCCTTTCTCTGTTGGGCTTCTTTTTTTAAAAAAAAAATGTTCGGTCCCCCCCCAATCCATAGTATTTCCTTCCTCTGTTGGGCTTCTTTTTTTTAAAAAAAATGTTCGATTTGCATTGATTCAGGCAGTCTGATCACTTGAAATGATGCAGAAAACTGATACAGTGGCTGGCCACGGGAGGGAGAGCAAAGATCCAAACCAGGAGGTTTTCCAGGATGTCTGGATCTTGGCAAACAATACCATTTGTATTATTTTGACCTGTCTGCCGGCCAAAATTTGACCTGTCTGCAGGTCTAGCTATGGTTGTTTTTGAAACCTGGCAAGCTGAAGAATTCAAACAAGCTGGTAGTGTGCGTGTACCATTAGCAAAGCATACCATTTTTAATGGTATGCCACATCTATGATCTAATAAGGCAACTAGACAGAGGGGGAGGGGAAGAGAGAGAAAGAGGGGAAATTAGCATGTTGTCCTTCTTAACAACTTATTTCAACTTACTTGAATATCTCTTCTGAAGGTTTGTCACCTGCTGGGCCACAAGAGAGCTACATTAACGAGCTGCAAACAAGGCTTTCCTTCTCTTTCCCTGTGTGGCCAATTAATTTGAACTGATCTGGGCAATACAGTGGTGCCTCGCTTAACGAGCGCACCGTTTAATGACGAATCCGCATAGCGATCTCTTTTTTGAGATCGCTAATGCGATCGCATTGCGATGTTTTAATGGTCAAAACATCGCATTGCGATGATCGGTAAGCGTTTCGCTTACCGATCTTCGCATTGCGATGGTTTTTTCAGCAGCTGATCAGTGTTTCCAAAATGGCTGCCACGCGCCCAAAATGGCGGCCGCAACCATTTTCGCGCCCTGCCCTTGCTCACCGAGGGCGCGAAAATGTCAGCGCTATGGAGGAATTTCGCTGAACTGTGAGTTTAGGAGCCATAGGAACACATTAAACGAAGTTTGATGCGTTCCTATGGCTTTTTCCGTTCCGTATACCGATGTTTCCTCATAGCGACGATTAATCCGGAACGGATTAATGTTGCTATGTGGGGCACCACTGTACCAGATTTCCACCACTGACTGATGACTCTTATACATTAAAATCTCTGCAATGCTCTCCATAGATAAAGGAATCAGGTGCCATGCCCTTTGTGCATGGGAGAGCAGAATATGTTTCATTTATGGTGATACACCATAAATGCAACACTTACCTCCATGACCAGCAGCCCAAGAAAGCACAGAGTCAAGCAAGCCAAGACCATTCGGATTGTGTTCTCGGTGTTGAGTTTCCACGAAGCTTCTGCACCTAGAAGTGTGGAATACAAACTGGACTGAGGAAGATAGTGGGATAGTTCAAGCCTCCTCTTTCCTATCCATTCCTCCACTCTTGGCTTTTTATTGGTCCTTTTGTGCCATTTAGAGTACTATATGTAGAGTACTACTATCATGATTCATGATTCATGTGGTACAAGATCTGACAGCACTGGCAGAAGGCCTTGAAAAAACTACCCACTCCTGTCTGCCTCACATCTGTGGCATCATCGGGACCCACTCTTAGGGCATCAACAAGGGAAGGGAACACCAGAGAGGTTGTTGTTTTTTCAATGCTGGATTTACCATGGACCATGGTGCAAATGGTGCACCCTCCTTAACAAACCACAATCCATCCATCCCCCTTGGCTCTCTTCTTCCCCAGGAAATCCACCTCCTTACCTAAAGCAACTGAGTATGAACCACGGAAAACTAAAATGTATAAAGACTTGCCAAGCAAGAAAACTCATGTTTTGAGTGAACCCGAATAACAGCTATAAATACTCAACTATCCAACAAACTGCAACAGAGCATGAACAGAGTTCCTACTCCAGTCCTCTGAAGATGCCAGCCACAGAGACTGGCGAAACGTCAGGGAGAACAACCTTCAGAACACGGCCAAAGAGCCCAGCAAAACCCACAACAACCATCAGCTGTGAAAGCCTTCGAGAATACAGTGGTGCCCTGCATAACAAACGATTCGTTTAATGACGAATCCACATAGCGATGTGTTTTTTGCGATGTTTTAGATGGCAAAACATTGCTTTGCGATGATCGGTAAGCGTTTCGCTTACGGATTTTCGCATTGCGATGTTTTAAAAACAGCTGATCAGCGGTTCCAGAATGGCCACTGGGTAAATAAAATGTCGGCCCGCAGTGTTTTCGTGCCCTTTCCTCGCTTACCGGGCAGCAAAAATGGTGGCCGCATGGAGGATTTCCACAGAACGGTGAGTTTCCCCCCATAGGAACGCATTAAACGTGTTTTAATGCGTTCCTATGGGCTTTTTTGCCCCGCATAGCGACAAATTTGTATAATGATGATTTTTTCGGAACGGGGCACCACTGTACATTGTAATAAGCAGTCGTCGTCTTCATCATCATTATCACTTGCTGTTTTTTCTTTTATTTTTAATTCTGTATTTTGGAAGGTTGGATAGGGATAAGGATAAAAAGAGCTGTCGGTCTTTTAGACCCATTGGTTTTTGCACTCTATGTGCAAGCCAAAGAAATAGTAGCCACTACTGAAAACACCCCAAAAAGGGGTTTTAAGCTCTTGTTTGAATTTTTCAGTTTATAGTTGCTGACAAAATCTGTCTACATGAACGTGTGAAAAAGCAAGATTTGGCTGGAAACCGGTAATTTGATTGTATGATTTTGTATAAAATATGTGGTTCTTCTTTTTTTGGCCATATGCTATTCAGTTACCATATTTGCATGCATATAATGTTCGTGTTATACAGTTTTTGCATGCCATGGGACCTACTACACATTATGTTCGTAGAGTGCGTAATAATCTTCCAGTGCTTAGGTCCTCTAAAAGTCTTAATCGGGCCCTGACTTGAAGGAATTCAGTGCTGTTTGTTCCCAAATAAATACAAATAAAGACTGCAAACAGACCTTGCTGGAATACAACTGTGAAGACCACAGAAATTTTTGCTTCCCCTCTATGCTACTGCATTCTGCATCGCCCCCAAAAACTAGCTTCAGAAAGTTTCCAAACCCTCTGGATCAGGTTTGTTTTAAATGGGTTAGTGCATTACACACCATGCCATCATTAGGAGCAACGTTCTTGGATTCTTCCTCTTGAGTTCCATGGTTCAGTACAGTTTGGCTGCATTGCTTTTCTGCAGGCATCCTGCCTTCCCAGCCTTGCCTCCTTTGAGCACTGACTGTGAGCAAACAACAGAAGAAGCAGGGTTGCGAAGCCAGAGCACCCGTAGAAAAACTATGTGGCTGAACCCTGGTTCACGCCTATCTCAGGTCATTGCCATCACAATAGCATGCCATCAACTCCATTCCAATTTATGGCAAAACTTCCCAGGGTTTATAGATAGAGAATACAGTGGTGCCCCACATAGCAATGATAATCTGTGGAGCCAAAATCGTCGCTATACGGATTCGTCGCTATGCGAAATAAAAAAGCCCATAGGAATGCATTAAAACCCGTTTAATGCGTTCCTATGGGCAAATAACTCACCTTTATGCGAACATCCTCCATACGGACGCCATTTTTGTTGCCCGGTAAGCGAGGAATCTGGGCAAAAACACAATGGGCGGCCTTTATTTTTAACCAGGCGGCCATTTTGGAACCGCCGATCAGCTGTTGGGAAAACATCGCTATGCGAAAATCAGTAAGCGAAACAGCTTGCTGATCATCGCAAAGCAATTTTTTCCCCATTAGAAACATCGCAATGCGATCGCAAAAACTTAATCGCTATGCGGATTCGTCGTTAAACGGGGCGGCCGTTAAGCGAGGCACCACTGTACACACAAGTGGTATACCATTTCCTTCATCTGGGAGCATCCTTGGACTGAGCAGCTTGCCCATGGCTCTACACCTGAGAGGCACAATGAGGAATCAAACTCCAAGACTCTAAATCTTCAGTCAGATACCTAAACCACTGAGCTATTCAGCCAGAGAGTTCACATCATGGAAGAAAGAAATATTGGATGGTTGGATCCTGTACAGCCACAGCTCAGGAGTTCGATTCTCCACTGGACCTTCTGGGAGAAGAACCAGCCTGTGGAGATTGGGGAAAGCTGTACAGTACAGCACATTCCCCGCAGAAAGGAATGACTAACAATTTAGGAGTACTCCATACCTAGAAAATCTGGGAAAGGATTACCAGAAATCAGAATTGACAGCATGCATTTATGGTAATAGAGTATACATTGACACTTATTTCTATTCCTTACCTCCTGTTACCGTAAGATTTACTGTTGTTTCATGTTCGACACCTGTGGCCAGTATTGTCGCCAGGTATATCCCAGCATCCTTTAGCTCCACCTGTTGAATTATCAGTGTGCCATTCCTGAAGATGTCTGCTCGCTTCTGATATCCACCGGCCACTTCTTTGTGCCTCAGGCATTCTCTTTCCCACCACTGGTGAGTGACTCCGCTTGTATTGCAACGGTCTATCAGGTAGACGAGGATGGGGACACTCCCACTGGCGATCATCCGTTCCCATTTGATGCTAATGAACGTCCAGGAAGAGCTTGGAGGCTGAAAGGAAAGGGGCAGCAGAGCCGTCTGGTGGACAACAGCCATTACCTGGCTGTCGGCTTTGGAACTGGCCAGAGATGCTGGAAGAAATTGTGAAAATATATGTAAGTCTTGATACTATATAAATTAATCTGATAACTCATTTATCCTTCAATGTTTTCCTCAATTCTCCTCTCAAGTTTTCTGAAAATTGCTTTAATTCTGTCATTGGTGAAATCAGTGGGCTTAATAGTTTCTTACATTCCAGATTTGTATCATATTTTTAAGGAAAGGGTTCTCTATCTTTTTAGCAATAAACTTCTTTAATCTTCTTTTAAAATTTTAACATGGATCACTCAGCTTTTTATCCTTCAATGTTTTCCTCAATTCTCCTCTCAAGTTTTCTGAAAATTGCTTTAATTCTGTCATTGGTGAAATCAGTGGGCTTAATAGTTTCTTACATTCCAGATTTGTATCATATTTTTAAGGAAAGGGTTCTCTATCTTTTTAGCAATAAACTTCTTTAATCTTCTTTTAAAATTTTAACATGGATCACTCAGCTTTATGAATTTCTTATTTATTTATTTATTTATTTATTTATTTATTTATTTATTTAATATGCCGCCCACACTACCCAAAGGTCTCTGGGTGGCTTACAACATTTAAAATACAA